TGTTCAGCCAACCATATTGTTCTGCAGAACATTCTCCCTAGCAACTGGCGTCAGTGCCGGACTGGTGGCACCATTGAGCTTATTGCAAGCGTGAGCGATACGCCACTTGCCCTTTGGCTTTTGTACACAAAGAATGGGTGTCAAATAAGAAGACTGGCTCAATTCCCGCGTCGTGCTTTGCACACAAAAAGGTATCAATGACCCCACTCTGCTCCTTGGTTCCCGGAACCAGGGTAATCTCATGACGCACACCTCGGTCCGGGGTTAGGATTAACGGCGGGGTTTTGGAAACGACGTCTTAGAATTTATTTACTAAAGAATAATCCGGATTAAAAAGGATCCTTCAGGATCGACGATCTACTTCGTGCGCTCAGCACCCTATTGAGTGTCCTCCAGGACCGCTTTATCCAGAAGCGACGACGAGTTAATCTCTTGTCCGTCGTATAATGACCACATCGGCTAAATCGCCTCCCTTGAAGGCACCGCAAAACCGAAGGACATCTCGTCCAGCTCAAGAAGAGAATCTACCACGGAATATCATTGATGGTGACGTCGCCGTCTTTCTTTCCCGTCATACCGTTGACAAGGGGTATAGCTGTGTGCTATGTCTATGGTAGACACACGCTGGGTCAGGGTCGATGCCCTGCGTCTTGCAGATAACAAACGGCATCGACGTCTCCTTCCTTTAGAGGTTTTACGTCTCGTCGAGAACGGTGGGAACACGCACTTAGCGTCATCCAGTGTCCCTACTTCTTGTTCCACCGGAGTCCTGAAATTATAATAAACATCCGACGAAGAGCTGCTAGCTCCGCGGTCTTCATCCAGTGGATAACGTGTCAGTCCACGCGCGCATCTGAAGGACCTTGCCCAAGATGCCTCGGACCTCGTCCGGCCATGCCACTCGTGGCATGCAGCGACTGCTTCGAGACGTGAGCAATGCTCAGTGGATTACGTGCCACTTCACGTACATCACTGGGGCCTCGCCCTCGATGCTTCGATCATTGGTCGACCATGCCATGCATGACATGCATCGACCGCTGCGATACTTGAGTAGCGTCCATTGGACTACGTGTTCACGTTCAGTCCGCAAACGATGCTCGGAATTCCTGTCTGATACACCATCGGTGTTCACCAACTCGGATACTCCGATCTCCAGCACGTTGACCGTCTTGGCCCAGCTCCCGCGCAAATAGCGTTTCTGCCTCCTAGCAGAGGTGGGTTCATGACTCACCAAAGCCCCACCAGGAGACGTTTGCGTAGCACCCAAGGTCTTCGACTTCCAGTGAATCCAAGGCTCATGGTGTTCCAACTATGCCATGCCAAGGATGAGACTTTCACCTTGAATCCAAGTCTAAGACTAAGCAGTGTTCTACTTTTTTAAAGTCAAGAAACTTGACATGTGCCCCCATCACTAAGCGAACGGTGACGATATCACTCAGCCGCGTTTTCAGTGCTTCAGCATACAGCTGACTTTCTCCTATCGTGGAGCGTCGAGCATAATTGCCTGACGCCCCGGAGTCGATCCGAATCTTCCATGGCTTCTCAAAGCCCTTTACAGTCGCTTCCGCGACCAGCAAACCCGGCTTGCATTTACGTTCCATGTTCAAAAGCACGGAGCTGTTCGGGGCTGGGCCCTGCTATCCTCTACCTCTTAAGGCTAAACAAAACTCAGATCTTTCCCAGTAGGCCACCCCGCGCCAACTGGGCGTTGTCGTTTCCCCTCGACAATCCAGAATACTGGTAAGAAGCGAAAGGTCAGTTTGTTGAACTTTGATGCGCCTTACGCAGGGGACAATCAGTCGAAAGTGACGGGTGTCTTCACAGACAAAACGCAGTCGGGTGTTCGAACGCTACCCGGCAGCTCGGAGTTCTGCCTCCTCGTCCTCAGCATAGCTGATATCCATTGGCTGAGGCCTGCTCGACGTGCTGTTAAAGAGCGCATACCAACCAAGTCGTGCCGACTTAGAGTTGAATTCTGCATTCAATGCCACATTTACTGCTTATTCCAAAGTAGAAGGATGCACACGGAAGACTTTCATTCTGGCCACTTGAGTGCGGAGGTCCCCTACGAAGAGGTCACTGTGACCGCATCGGGATCGGCTGCCATACCGGCAATGAGAGTACGCAACTTGGACAAAGTCTACTAATTCCATCTTGCCCAGTCGGGCGGCAAGGAAACGCGATCGCACGCGATATGCTGGTTAGGTGGCGACACTCGTAAAAGCTGCAGCTTCAGCTCTGTCCAGGAGGGAAACGCCGCTCCGACCAATGTGCCGCACGTCAGTGCCCATTCTCGCGCTCGACCTTCGAGCTTGGAGATTGCTAGCGCCACGCGCTGATGCTCGGTCTGGAGTATGTCGGATGCCGTGGCCGTCTCGATGTCCCTCACCCAGAGTAGGAGATACTCTCCATCCTTGCCCTCGAAGGTCTAAACGCTTATTATGAGCAGCCTGGGTCGAGGAGAGCCGACAGTTGCGTCATGGGCGACGCAGACATCTTCTGCTCTAGGTGCTCTAGCAGATCATTTTCATAGCTCGTAAACGCCTCTAGGCGCGCGCTGATCGCTTCAGGACTTGTGAAGCGAGGTGTTGTACACCTTCAGGGCCGAGCAGAGACATCAGCTTTTTAAGCCCGTCCTGCATGTCCTGGGGCAAACAGGGGAACTGCCCCAACTTCACAGAGTGTAATGACTCAGTTGTAGATTGACTACAAGTGCTACCAAGTGCAGCAGGGCTGCCGTAGCTCTATCGCTTAGAGGAAGCGTAGTTAAGGTTGGCGATCTTCGTTCCATACTTAGAACCAGTACGAGTGTACCAGATCGCAACCCGCTTACTCCAAGAGTAATTACAACCTTAACCCAAGGCTTATTACCTCTTCCGTTTAACATGCAAACTGTATTTTTGGGCTTTATCTGCGGCAAAGGCGCCTATATCTAAATCTTTAGGTTTTCCTATCGAAATAGTAAAACCTTATTAAATAGATAACTACTGGGCTGCTCACATCCAAGGAAGGCAGCAGGCGCGTAAATTACCTAATCCTGACACAGGGAGGTAGT